ATAGAATAGAATAGAATAGAATAGAATAGAATAGAATAGAATAGAATTCTTTATTGGCCAAGATTGGACACATAAGGAATTTGTCTTGGTGCAAATGCTTTCAGTGTACATAAAAGAAAAGATACATTTGTCAAGAGTCAAGAATCATAAGGTACAACACTTAATAATAGTCTTAGGGTACAATAAGCAATCCAGTCATACTAGGAAACAGTCAATATAGATCGTAAGGATACAAGCGACAAAGTTACAGTCATACAGTCTCAAGTGGGAGGGGATGGGTAATAAGGAGTGATGAGAAGATTAATAGCAATAGTAATGCAGACTTAGTAAAGTTATCTTGGGCTTTGCCCTTGAACTTCCTGTTCCTGTGCAAGAATATGCATTCTATTGGTTGTTGTAGCGATCACAGCTTACTTTGTAGGCTGTCTGAGTCCCAGGCTTGGTTGAAGCTTGCTGTGTGATGCAATGTCCCCCAGGTGATTGTGTCACATGGTGAGCTCTGCTGCTAGATGGGTTAATCCTATTATGTCCTGAGGGGGTCACATCTTAATAGAATTCTTTATCCCATCACCCTGGAGATGGAGGTCTTTTGTCTTCTAGATAGACTGGTTCAATCTTTCTTAATGGGCACAAAATATCTGCTCAGGGCAGGGAGATGGGTTTCTGGGTTTCTGTTTCCTTTAATATTTTTATTTCTCTTTTAGGGGAAATAGTTTATCCTAATTTTTTTTAAACATTTCCTAAAAATATTCAGTCTTCTAAGAGGGGTGGCTTCCCTTAACAGTGTCTGGGCACCATAAGAGCATAGAACAACTCAAAGAAGTAGTGCAAGATTGAAAGATTTATTTATTTCTTTCTTTATTTTATTTTTATTTATTTGATTTGCCAATTGTTTACAAGATAATAAGTATAAGTGTATACATAGTTGTGAATACATGAAATGGGTACATATAAGAAAAATAAAAGAGGAATAAGAGAAACAATAGGACAGGGACAGTAGGCACGTAGGTGCGCTTATGCACGCCCCCTACAGACCTCTTAGGAAAGGGGTGAGGTCAATAGTAGACAATGTGTGGGACAAAGATGTGGGGGAATCTGGCCCACAGAACCACAAGAACCAGACACAACTAAATGTACAACATCATCATGATCATCATGAAAGCAGGGTCATGGATCATATGCTGAGCACATGGGGATATGCTGTGGGTTCAGGTTTCTCAACATGGCAGTCGGAAAACTAATTAAAGCCTTTGTGGGCTCCAGTGAATGTCTGAACAAGGCTTGCATTTCATACCAGAAATACAAGGGAGAATCACTTAGCTGTCTAAATGTGCATGTTCATAACTACAGCTGGACTTAACTGATCTTAGCTAATCTCCAAAAGCTAAGATGGTTTACTACTTGGGTGAGAATCCATTAGTAAATCATAAGGCTGTAAGTCTTCCCCCCTGAAAAAAGCACCTTTTGGACAACCTAAGGCTGTAAATTAGATTTCAAAGTTTCCAACAGAGGTGGGCTGCAAAGAGTTCACAGGGGTTGGAGAGAGCCCCTAGCTAAGATTCTGTGCGATTCGTAAAGCCCCCAAATCCCACTCCTGGCTGGCCATGCCCACCTCACCCCACCCCTCCCAGGAGTCCCCACATGGCCCATTTTGGATGCAGGTAAGAGCAAGGTGCTCATGGAGGCTTGGGGAAGGCAAAAAAATGGGCTTCTCGGAAGTTCAGGAAGGCTGGAAGTGGGCCCATTTCCAGCTTCCAGACACCCTCCGGAGCCTGGGGAGGCTGTTTTCATCCTCCTGGAGGCTCGAGGAAAATTTCCACAGCTTGGGGAGGGCAAAAATGCCCCCCCCTGCCATGGTGCAGGAGGCTGGCTAGGCCACACCCACCATGGTCACGCCTACCCAGCAACCGGACAGACAACCCTCTGCTAAAATTTTTGAAGCCCACCCCTGGTTTCTAACCTCAAATTTTACAGAAAATTACTTCTAGGTTGTTGCTATGAAAGCTACCTGGGCAGGTCCACAAAGATACCACTGTATCAAAACTTTGACTCTTTGTTTTGGTATGCAAAGCTTCTCTTCTCAATGGATAGCAATGTGGCTTGGATCAAAATTTTTTAAAATGAAAATAAAAAATGTCCAGCTAAAACTCCATAAATTAAACCGCTTGATGGGATCTTGTGTCCTGTGGCTTAGTAAATCAACTGGATTTCTTTATGGATTTAAAATGGTGAGGCAGAATGTCATGTGAGAAGATAGACAAGGAATATGATTATGCTCCCTATGAAATTCAGGCTTTGAACACTAAACAAGCAAAATGACCTGTCACATTTAATTACAATTTGCATGGGAGTCTGTCTATTTGCATATCCTATAAACACATCAGTAATTGTTTACCTCAATAGACATATTGTTGTGTTGCTAATCATCTGAGTATTTAAAATGGGCATTTAAGTTATTTCTTTCTTTTCTCAAGGCGGGCCCTGCTTTGAAGAAAATGTAAAACAGTGAGATATTCAGGAACCAAATGAAAGATTGCATGGAAATTGTGCAGAATTTAGAAGGAAGCATTCTACTGCTGGCCTGCGCTGCATGCAAGTTGAATTTTACATTTCATTTTAATCATACTTCTTTTCAACCCTTGAATAGCTGCAAAATAGCTTTGGAAAAGAATGACCAAAACTGTGTGCTATCTTCAAATCCCTAGTGATTGCTAACTGGCATCTCCAAAGGTAAATAAATCATGGAGTGTTTTCTAAGGGACTTTCTTGGGAATAGTGCAAATCCTGTTTACCCACCTGTTAAACAAAGGCCAAATATAGAGCAAAAAAGAGGGGAGGTGTATATGTGTGGGTGAGTGTGTGAGAGTGAGAAGGGAGGGAGGGGGGAGGAAAGAAAGAAAGAAAGAAAGAAAGAAAGAAAGAAAGAAAGAAAGAA